CTTTAGAGATTATAAATGCCATGCAAGCAGAACTACAGTCTTACCTAATTACAGCATCTCAATCACACAAGTAGGAAAGTTTTCCTGGAAGTTTTTCTAGTGCAAGGCTAGCATTACTCTAAGATAAAAGTCACAGGTGAGGCACAGAGCTCAAGTTCTGAAAAAGGGTTAAAGGATGCAACAATGAATGCTTTAAGAAAAAAGTGCTTTTCATTCACTTCTTCAAAGGAAAAAGGGAGCAAGCAAATTCCTGTATAAAAACTGCAAAAAATCAAATATGATGATCATTACAAACTGGATAGTTTAGATCAAAAATTTTTAGGAAAAACAATCATTCCCGCCCAGGCAATTTTATCAGTTGTGGTAAATTTGGTCAAAACTTTGTGGAAGGCTCAATAAAAGTAAAAAAATACGTCTACAGGAACAAACCCCAAATGACAACAATATCTGGAGGTTTAAACAACATCTGTTCGGTTACCACCAACAGTATGCTGATGTGGTTACTGGGGGTCACGGCAGAGGAAGAGCCCCAGGTGCTTGCTTCCCTTCAAGTAAAATCCACTCTGTTAAGACATCATAAGTTTTCCTGCCGCCACGGCTTGAAGTTAACTGCAAATGCACCCACAGATAAAAGGCAAAGTGAAACTACACAAGGTCTCACGTTCTCCTCTCCCTAGACCCTCTGCTCTGCCCATTCAGTAAGCTAACCTAGCCAAAAAACAGCTCATGTTTTCTTTACCCGATCAGCAAATGGAACGGGCTCACACGAAAGGGCCTGGTGCGACCAGACCACTACAAGGTGGCATGTGGAAATCGGGAAGGAAGCATGAACTCCCCCATCCTGCTGGCAGCAGTAAGCTATTATACTGTCGCTCAAGTAACTTCACCCTTCTTTTAAACTTGTGTTAGCCAATCTGGTTCTCCCAACAGCTATTTAAGCCCACAGACGGGAGGCACTAGTTCTTTCAGTAGGAGTGCTGGCTGTGAAGTATTTGCCCAAAACCCTCCCACCGCACTCAAAGCTGCTGCAGGGAAGTTTGCCTTTCAGGTGACACACCAGTCTTGGTTACTAACTACCCTGACGCCAGAACAAAAATTATTTTTTGTCTACGGGCAAAACTGCATATATTTAAAATAAAAGAACGCACCTAGGGTACCTCTAAACCACTCGCCAGTTAAACGCTGTGCATAAAATCGCAAGCACAGACCGTGAGCGGGCAGCACGCACAGTGTCCTGCCTGGCAGGACTGACTGACAAACACCGCCGGGTCTGCCTGCTCAGAGAGCGCCAGGACGGCGGGGCGGCTCAGCCGGTGCCCGGCGCTGGAGGGCGGGACACCCGGCCCTCGGAGCAGCCGGGCAGGGCAGCAAGGGGAGCCCCGGCCCGGCGCGGCACCGCGGCGAAGCGGCACCCGCAGCCCCGGGAGTGGCCGGACAAGCGCCCGGTACGAGTTTGCCAAAGGGGCCGGGGCGCTGACAGCTGCGCACTCCTCGAGCCTGCCCCCCGCCCTCCCTCCCGCCCCGGGGCAGCGCGGCGAGGGCTGCGCCGTGCGCTACCTTGCCAGTAGAGCCCTACGAGCTGCTTCATGCGCCAGTGCGGGGCGGAGAACACGTCCACCTCTCGGGGAAGGGAGCCATGTTCTCCCCATGGAGCCGCGCCGCGGGCGGCGGCGCGAGCGGCGGCGCGAGCATCCACACCGCGCCTGCGCCCGCCCCGCGTGACCGCGGCCGCCGGTGCCGCGCGTGCGCCGCTGGCCCGCCCCTGCCCCCCCTGCGCCCGGGCAGTGGCGGTCGCTGGGCCCGCCTTGGCCGGGGTGGGGCTGCCGTGCCTGGGGGTTTCCGGCGCTGCGCTGAGTTCTGTGTTGGAGGCACACCTTCGGGGTCGTTCAGGTGCGCTGACGTACTGCCCGACCTGAAATCGTGCGCCTTGGCAGCGCTGAGTTAGTGGCTTGTGGATGTAAGGAAACAATTTATAGAATTACAGAGTCGATTAGGTTGGAGAAGAGCCCTGAGATCATCGAGTCCAACCTGTGACCGAACACCACCGCGTCAACTGGACCGGGGCACCAAGTGCCACATCCAGTCTTTCCTTAAACACCTCCAGGGACAGTGACTTCACCACCTCCCCAGGCAGCCCGTTCCAATGCCCAATCACTGTTTCTGTGAATAAATTCCTCCTAATGTCCAACCTAAACCTCCCGTGGCACAGCTTAAGATTGTCCTCTCATCCTATCACTACTTACCTGGGAGAAAAGGTCAACCCCCCCGGCTGCAACCTCCTTTCAAAGAGCAATAAGGTCCCCCCTGAGCCTCCTCTTCTCCAGACTAAACACCCCCAGCTCCTTCAGCTGCTCTTCATAGGACTTGTGCTTCAGACCCTGTACCAGCTTTACTGCCCTTCTCTGGACACACTCCAGCACCTCAATGTCCTTTCCTGAATTGAGGGCCCAGAACTGGACACAGTACTTGAGGTGTGGCCTCATCGAGAAAGGTCCTAGAAAAGCTATTTGTGCATATAGCGGTCTAAAATTTATGGTACTGTTTTGCTGATATCAAGACAGCATTTCTGAAGGAAGACTTTATTTGTACTTTGCAGCAAGAGGGACAACTCCCAGTTGCCCAACCAGGAAACCATGAGAAGCTAGGAACTGAAAGAAATCTGCTATGCTATAAAACACAGTCATTACAGAAACTGAACTAAATATGTGTGTTTACAGGAAGTAAAGGCAATGCTTCACTGAAATACACTGAGATGACAACATCAGGAATAAAGCGGGTGTGGCAGATGAACTGGTGTTTGTGAGGGAAAATGTGTGATGGGTCCTAAACTAGGCTGCAGTGGGGAATCTGTGCCCAACTTTTTGTAGTATTTGTGCCAAATAAGCAGAGTTAAATGTGTTTGTTTAACATCCAAGGCAAATGGACCAGGAACACCTGCTTGTGATACTCATCTGCCCATGCAACATTTCGAAATAAGCAGGAACACTTGGCAGAATTGAGATCACACATGGATTTGACAAAAGGTGGAACTGTCAGCCAACATGGCAACATGTGCTAAAATTGTCCACCAGTGTTGCAATGTGTAGTAAATGTCCCAAAAGTACATTGTCAAACATAAAATAGATGGAGCATGCCTTTCTGACTAAAAACTATTACTATAAAATATCTATGTTGCAGATATTAAATATGTTAGAGCTAGCTACATTATAGATGTAAGCAGTTAATTGTAAACACGTTGAAATATTCTGAGCAAAGGCACATGAGTTTTTAGTCTAATATTGCTCAACATACTAGTGCTTGAGAATAAAATGCTGGTAAAAGTAGTAAATAGTGACCGGAGAAGGAGAGATCATGTTATGAGGGTTATCTCGCTTACATGTGCGCCATAATCTTTTTATCTCTTTATCTAAGGAAATGAGGCTTAAGCAATTGCAGTCTTGGGTGTTTCCTTTTCCATGCATGCTTTCCACTTCAATGGACTTTTGAACATGCTGGCCTACTTAATCGTGTCTGCAAACATGTACAAACCTTGGAAGGTTGAATTCATACAGCCTTGGGGGGGGGAAGCAGTTACACATGTCAGCAGTTGCACAAGAAAAGGAAGGCAAAGCACAGGTATTATGCAGCTGGCTAGCCAGTGCATGGTTGTGTTTACTGCTTGGTTAGTAAGCACACCTCTGGGTTTGGGCTTGAGCATGTCTTTCACAGAGAGTGTGTCACAGCACATAAGGGAGCAAGTGAGACTGGTGTTACTGCTGGAGGTAGAATCATGCACTTGAAGACACAAACCCTTAAGAAACAATGTTTGAAATTCAACACTTACAGAGGAGCTTGGGAATATGAGCAGTTTCAATGTCATGTTTCCAGGCCTAAAGCATGTAGTCATACAGAGTTGAGGTTATTCTGTCATCAGTTCATGCCTGAGTTGTAATAGAGGATTAACGTTCCCACCTGTTACACCTTCCTTCTGCTGGAAGTTACGACTCCTATCTAATAGAAAGAATGAGAATATGTAAGTTCCTCATCTTCCCGGGCTTCAGAATATAAACATATGCTGAATTTCATGGTTGTTTGGGTTAATATTCAGATTGTGAACTCGAGTATCTCCAGAGCAGATATGCTGCAAATTTGGCTGACTGATTCATTGGCAATAACTTCTTCTAGGAGAGAGGGGCAGAGAGCAAGGGACAGTGATCTGCATACAAAGCATGAATTGCCAGACCTGCCTTAGAAATCTGAGTCCATAGGCAAATTACTCGAAGGTTGAATTTTTTTTATTATTTTAAGGAAAAAAAATAGGGTGGTTGTATTTGCATACCACAGAATATTTACTCTGAAGATTAGATTAATTAATGTCATTTCTTGATCTAATGAAGTACTTAGGGAAAAGAACCTGGAGGAGAATAACAGTAAGCAGAAGTTGAAGAGGTCTGTTTAGTGCACAGGGTATGTGTCTTAATCCTTTTGCTTCTTGTTCTGATTGATTCATGACTGCAAGGCAGTTTTGTTCATGAGGACATGATACAAGTATCATCACGCCAAAATGTTGCTGTCAGTATCCAGGGGAGAGATGGAAAAAAAAGTTGTCTAATCTTACCCTTATGTGTGATACAAGATCACGAGGACTTGGGTATTTATGCTATCATTGCTATACTGGCATATTTTAGATATTTATTTTTTTTTTGTTCTTGATATGTATTTCAGCTTTTTTTCAGCCATTAGAGAAATATGTGCAAAAAGTATAGTCCTTTTAAAATTAAAAGAAACTGTTTAAAACATGTTGCTTGCAAGCGCTTGTGATGGTTTAGGGAGGTGTAGCGCAGCAATGACTATTAGGTGAACCAAAGGCATCCTAAGTACTGAAGTGGTAAGGGTTTTTTTCCTCACTTTACTGAAATATATTGCAATTCTCCTTAGTTATCACCAGATGGCCTTGAAAGTCTCTTTTTTTCTAAAGTAGGGAACAGTGTAGACACAAGGAAGTGATGTATCTGTGTGCTGCAATCGTTCCAGGAAACAGTTGAGTTACAGTTCCCAGCAAGGTTCTGTTTTCCTCCAAACTTTTGTGTACAGAGCTAGAGTTGGAGCTAGTATTGACAATCTTAAATGTTAAGCCTGCTGGTTTCCTTTTAGATTGTATCATTTAACTCTCCTCTTTTTTTTATTTCCCCCTTTTTTTTTAAGAACTTGGATTGCCAAGAATCATGATGATGAGCCTTTTTTTGCCTCTTTTACTTGTGTCTGTTCTGTTTATGAACAGCTTCTCAGAAGTGCGGGGAAGGAAATGGAAAGGTGAAGGTACAACTCAAAACCTGGAAAGTATTGCCATTGGAAGATGCTATGATTATATTAGAATTGTGAATCCTGCTGTTGGGTAAGTTTTGATTGTTTCTGGATTAGTTTTTTATGTTCTGTACAAAATAGTTATTAATCAGAAGCCTGATGTTATGCTTCTAGCCATGAAAGTGATCCTATTGCAGACAACATGCTTGTAGCTGTCTGGAAACAAAAAATGAATTTTTACAGATGTCATATTTTAAGTAAAGGAGTGTAATTAAGGCAAGATTTTTAATTCTGCAATTTTTTATTTCACATTTCTCCCCCTCTTACTGTTCTGTAAGGAGAACACCACACAGGGATGGCAGAGATAATGTGTCTGAAGTATCAAATCTGACAGTGCTCCTGGGAAGATCAGCTTTACCTTGAATGCCTTGTGTGTCAGGTCATGTAAGAAGGGAAACGCCTCACTTTACAGCTATCTGTGGTACTGAAGGAAACTGTTTAGCTTATCCACCTGAAAAATTAAGTAGTAATCAACTGCTCAAGTAGGATTATCCATGAGATTTCAATAGCTGTGTCAATTATACAGAACTGGAGGTAAATCAAACACTTTGAGCACTTTTTCTGTCTTCCTTCCCTTTTAAGGGCTTCCATAAAAAGGAAAAAAAATTAGGAAGGATGGTCTCCTGGAGTTCAGCCCTTTATTCTGCCACTAAAATTTTGTCCTAGTAGTTTGAAGAGGTATTTGCAGAGGGGTCCTGGCTGGGTTACACATTGAATTGCTGCTGTCTGAAACAGGGCTAGATTATATTGCAAATATCACCTCCTTCCCCCAACATCCCTTTTTCAGTTGCTGTTGCAAAAGAGGAAGATACAGGACTGAAAACAGGTTGGTGGCTTTTAACAAAGGCAAAACTACACGTTTCTGCCCAATAACATTGCTTATCAGAAGCAATTTTTTTCAAGTTCCTCATGAAAGAAGAAATCACCTTAATGTAAATAACATAGTACTAGAATTTCAGCAGAACAGTTCAAGCTCAGCAAATTTATAAACATGTCACAGTGGAAGGTACAAATAAACTTTAACTATATATTTCTACATATCTACAATATATTATATATATAATATATATATTATATAAAATATGTAAATTTAGTTAACAATTGTGTAGGTAGTCTGATCTTGCAGTAGGCTCTACATAGGTAGAATTCCTATTGGACTTAACAGATGTCACTTCATTTATATCTGAAACAGAACATGAATAATAATATAAAATATGCTAAAATGAACAATATAAAGGATAGAAGTATTAGCTTTATCGTTAACTGATTTGGACTTTTAAATACAATATTCTTGAAAGTATTTCTATATGTCTCATGTATATGATAGTATTGTGATCTAATTAATTCCTGTGACATTTTCAGAATATAATTTTAAAATTGAGCAGTCTGAACCCATTCATCAAAGTCTTTTTGTTCAGGATAGCATGAAGCCAGGCAGGCCATTGGGACCACTTTTCTGAATTAAGACCAAAAATGACATTATAAAAAGAAGAGCTGCACAATTAATTTCATATAATGGGGAGGGGGGTGTCTCTTTCCGTGAGGTCTATAAGCAAATAATGTAATCCAAACAAAATGAAAATTTCATATTGCACAGGTGCAAAGCAGATACTCTAATTATTTATAGCCCTTTCTGTTCATTGTCTGTTTCTTAGTTGCCCCCAGGCTGGCTTTTACAGAGGCACGACCACCTGGATATGTTTCGCTTCTGAATTTATGTGCAAATACAATAATTCTCTAAAAATACTTTGCTAAGATAAAGGAAGCTAGCAAGGCATGTCTTTACACTGCAACATAGTTAAAATGTAAAGATGTTTATAAAAACATAAGAAAAACTTTCTCTTATGTTATAACATGCAAAATGGCAGGTAAAGGATGCATTTTACAAAATGCTGTGGTCATGTAGCAGTGAGGAATTTGAACAAAGATCATATTTCAAATTTTCTAACAGGAGCATGCTGTGTAACATGAATGTTCCTGTAGTGCTTTTTCTCCATACTTGTTTATTTGTAATATATTGTGGAAGTTTTGAAAACAAGTTCTTTAACTGACTAGTATGAAATAAGTCTAATAGGACTCATTAATGTCTATTGAGATTAGAGGGAATTGTCCTGAACTGTATTCCTTCCCAACCCTGTAGTTTCAAAAAGCATTTTTGCCAGCTAAGAAATTTTGAATATCAGAGCAGAATAATCCTTTTGATTTACAAGCTGTTCAAACCTGGATGAGAAGTCATGAAGAAAAAAAATGCAGTATGTGAATTAACCAGGAATTTACTGCAAGATTCAACTGTCAAGAAAGATATTAAAAGTTCCATTGATCATAACTTACAAGTACTGGCATGAGTAAGTGAGTTTTTACAGCAGAAAGCTCTTTAGCAAAATAAGACAGAAATATACACAATTGTCAGAAGCTGAAGTATAACAGCTTGAAATCAGAAATAGGGCACAAATCCTTTTATCAAATAAATCTATTTAAACCTTGAAACTACTGATCAAGGATCATATTGCATCACTGAATATTTTTGGATCAAAATCCATATCTCCTTATGATATATAGGGAATTATTATATAGTTGTTGGAAGCATGTCCAGAGATTACTGTAAGAGAATCTGTGGTACGTTTCCTTCATGGGAGCTGCATAGCTCATCACAAGGGGTCCTTTAAAGTGTCTCCTTAAGGAATCTGTGCCAGCCAAAACCCTGCTGTCTATGGATGACATAAAATGAGCAAAACTCTCTAATGGCAACGTTCAATGTACTTGTCTGGACTACTGTTGTTTAAGCTAGAGCTTTGCAATTACAGCTGTTCATGTTAGGAGTGCTGTATGCATTTAAAATAATTATTCTGTTGTGCAGTGAGTTCCTGGCATAAACCTTGGTTACAGTGGTACATGGGAAAGGTACTGTGGAAAAGTGGTGAGAGCAGGAATTCCCTTTTTAATTACTACAGGCAGGTTCAGATCTGTGACAGATGAGATCCTGAAAATCCAGAGAGATAGGACACTTTCATCCCTAGATAGCCTGTCCTGTTCTTCCATGGGAGGTTATTGTCCCCAAGGCAGAGCTGGCAGAAGGGAACTGCTGGAGTGTGCAGCAGTTTATTTCAGGCCTCCTTTCACAAGCACTTTAAATGCTGAATGCTAACAATATTCTTGTAGCTACTGCATAGTGACAGTGTGTTCCACGCAGCTCCACGCTGCTCACTGTACTCATTCCAGCAGGGTAAAGTTGCTTAGTCCTAGGGCCTATGCACACAAGGCATCTCTTTGTCAAAACCATTATTCTGCCATTGAAACTTTCAGTAACTCCTCCTGCACTTGAATCTGACATTTTGAGAGTAATAGGGCATTCCAGTAGTTTTACATATTTAGCTATGGTTTAGTTGAAATGGCTTTTTATATCTGAAAAATTTCAAAGAAAGCTGTTTTCTTTACTATTTCTACAGTACTGGATAGCAAACTTGCTGTATATACTCTATCTATGAAGATTTTTGTTGAATTACGATGTGTTTCTAATTCCACACTGTAAATGATAATATTTTCCTTGCTACTTCCTCCTAATCTGCTGCAGTTATGAGTCAGAAAAAGACAAAATCTATACGCTCTTCCTGACCTACAGGTTTTTTACCACCCTGACTTCAGTTTTCTACCTTAACCTTACGGATATTTTAATGTGGGAATTTGAAAAAGTTGGGAACAAATTACTTTCTTGCTTCGCTTCGAGAAAACAATTCTGCTGTTTGTTTGTTTCAATGATTACAGTGAGAAGAATTGTTCAGAGATATGGGAAGCATTTAAAAGTGCATTTATTAACAAGGATCCTTGCAGCATTCTACCTGAGGACTATGAATTATTTATCAACCTGTCATTGCACACAATTCCAGCTAACAAGGTAATGATTATTTATGTTAACTGTCCTTAGATATCCAACAGATTTTCTATGACAGAGTTCAAAATTGACCAAGAGTCATTATCTGGCTGACTTGTGAGTCATTCTTTCTGGCCTGTCTGTAGTTTAAAAACTAGTCTCAGACCTCATAGCATTTTTCAATGTGTTTGGCTCCATTTATTTTATGCAGTAGCTTCTCAGCAACCTCTCTCTTTTTATACTACAAAGATCCTCCATTTTTCCTGCTGTGCTGGGAGCTCTGACATAGTGCCTGAACTTCTACTTTTCCTCAAGTTAGGTGCTCTGCCTGCAAAGGGTGTGCCTGCTGTCATCTTTTGCTTCTACTCCTCACAGCCAAATCTCGTGGCAATGACATGTTAAACATTGACACATTAAACAAACATAAACAGAAATGAGATAAGATGTTGTTATATGCCAGAAAGCAGTAAGGGTTTGATGTGCTGGCAATTGCAGAGAACTGTGATTGTGCAAGAGACAGGTTGTGCTTTAAAGCAATTTTTCCTCAGCACAATTATTCCTCATCTCTAAATGTTATGAGCTAAACCAACAAATACTCCTGTCAACATAGCTTAATGCTTGAAGAGTTTCACAAACACAGAAATAACAGCAAGATGTATGATTTTTTCACACCATAAGCCAACATAGCAATGTGAGAGAATTCTGGCAACATATATCTGGATTATAAATATTTGTCTTCCCTTTTTCCTCCTTTTCCTAAACCTCCCTTCCCATCAAGGTATGAGTGTCCCTCAAGTCTCTAGAGATCGGAATTTACACCTCTATAAAATAAAAACTTTGTTCCTCTAAAGACAAGCTAACATTTCTGGTTATTAGTTGATTTTGAAAGAAACACCAAAACATGTTTTAAACTCTTTTCGACACCCAATAATCTCATTGTGTCCTCTCCCAAGTGTCAGTACATATCTTCTTTTTTATTTTCCCTATTTTTATATAGTCTCTCTTCTGGGAAAATAATCAGCTACTAGTCAATAGCTTTGCTGACAGAGGACGTCGCTACATGCCTGTGGGTGATACCCTGTTTGGCTTCTTTGGAGATTTCCTAAACTGGTGTGGGCAGGCAAACAGCTCTGGTAAGATAATGAGTGCTATATTAAACATTTGTCTGCAAAACCACAATGGAGACTGAGTGCTGTGTTCTGCAAAAGCTAATTTTGCTCTTATCTGGTGAAAAATTAGGGATAGCTTCACTCTGGTATCATTTGAATATTTAACATTGCAGTCAAGGAGCACACAGTGAAATCTAAACAGTGCTGCAGTGGAGGTAAACCACCTTCTCAATTCTCTGAAGCTGGAGCTCTCTGCATCCCAGGAATAGAGTTAGATCCATTTCAAACAAATTTCTGAATCCAAAGAATGTCACTGTTTGTGTAAACTGCAAAGGATGGAAAATTATTGAAAAAATACAACAGTAAGCTTCCAGTGTCATGTCAAACTATGTTGTATGTTCAGTGAGTAATGAGCACATAAATTTACTTCCTTTCTAAACTCCCTTTTTACAGTCATTATCATCTATCTAATAGCACAAATCACATGCCTTCCTACAGGACTGGACTATGAATCCTGCCCTACTACGATGGAATGTGAAACCAATGCAGTGGATTCCTTCTGGAGGATGGCCTCAATCACTGTAAATAGTGCATTAGTGCTGACTTCATGCATTAGCCAGCGTGTCCTGGGTGGTTCAGGAAAACACTGCCAGCTCAAAACAGCTTTAAACCTGTAACTCTGCTAGATTATTTCTTCTGATACAAATACACTGTTTTAGACTGAATACAGTGTTTTAGCAAGAGGAACCTAATTTTCACCTTAGCTAGATAATGTGTTAAAATTCTGTGTTAGCGTTGTTAATATAAATCATATACTAAGCACAATAAGCACAATAGCTGTCTACTAATTTCAGGTTCAAAGTGATATTTGACAGCTTTGCTGGAAACGCTTTATTCACAGATCAAACCCAACACAGATTGCTAAAATGCTTTCTTCCTGTGCTGAAGAAACTATTTATAGGTGTGAGAAAATAGCTTAATTCATTGAATTAATCCACTGGCTGTTTAGTTCCTGTCCTTTCTCCTGAAATGATCTGCTAGGGTGCTAGTGTAGTAGTATTTTTGCAGTTCTGATATTCTTCTTGGTAAAATTCTTTCTTTAGTCATTGTTGCTTGCAATAAAATAGTTTTGTGTGCAGTTTTGGTCACCCCAGTATAAGAAAGATATTAAGCTATCAGAGAGAGTCCAAAGGAGGGCAACAAATATGGTGAAGAGCCTGCAGAGAAAGCCATATGAGGAGCAGCTGAGGTCACTTGGTCTGTTCAGCCTGGAGAAGAGGAGACTGAGGAGAGACCTCACTGCAGTTACAACTTCCTTGTGAGGGGAAGAGGGGCAGGCACTGATCTCTTCTCTGTGGTGATCAGTGACAGGATCCAAGGGAATTGCCTGAAGTTGTGTCAGGGCAGGTTTAGGCTGGATATTAGAATAAGGTTCTTCACCCAGAGGGTGGTTGGGTGCTAGAACAGGCTCCCCAGGGAAGTGGTCACAGCCCCAAGCCTGACAGAGTTCAAGAAGCATTTGGATGATACTCTCAGGCACATGGTGCAGGGCCAAGAGTTGGACTCAATGATCCTTATGGGTCCCTTCCAACTCAGCACGTTCTGTGATTCTGTAAAAAATCTGTAAGATGAGTTCTGGAAAACATTGTTATGTATTGCAGTATGCGAAGCACAGTTCAGGGGAGATACATGTCTTGTTGAATGGTTCTGCAGTCGGAGGAGCTTATCCACAGCCAAGGTAAGAAAACTGATTTCTGTGTAGAAAGCCTAATAAAAAAAAAAAAAGAGGTCAGCCAGTTGTTTGGGTCTTCTGCTGCAAAAAGCATGGGAAATGTAGCTGAAAGAGCCTCATGCATCAAAGTCTGCTCAGTTGTGAGGACAACTCTTAATTGTCCCTAATTGAAGGAATTAATATGAAATTGATGGAAATAATGCTTTTGACTCCTGCATTTTAAAAACTGCTGTGGCAAGCAGCATGAATGCTCTTTGAAAGCTGCCTTTAAGTCAGTCAATACTGTGGCAAAATGTTTATGTCTTCCAAAAGGTGAGCATTACAAAATTTCTTTTCAGCAACATGTCCAAGGAGAGGGTATTGTTACAAGGACTCTAATTTCTGTCAGGCTTAGAGCAAACTTGGTAAATTCTATAGGGAAAGTTTATTGTCCTGGTATTTCTTGGCCTTTGAGGACACTCAGAATATGAATCATATTTTTTTAATCTGTGTTGAGCCTGATTGTAATTAGAAGATATAAAGTCAAGCAAGCCCATATGCTACAGCAGGATCAGAGCCTTCATTAGTGTAAAGTACAAAAGACTAATTAATTTTCATGTTCTTTCATGGTTCTAAATTTTTTTTTTCTTGAATCAGTTTTTTTGCAGATTATGAAATACCTAATCTCCAGAAAGACAAAATCTCACAAATTGTTATTTGGGTTGTGGATGATATTGAAGGACCAGATCTGTAAGTTACATTTTCAAAAAAAATTTAATTTCTCCCTTTTGGACCTGTCTTTAAAATTTCACCTTATCTTTCTGTTTGATTATATTTGCGTGGCACTTAGACTAAAGTATTTTAGATGCTTTCATGAACACAAAAGGCACAGGCTGCCATTCCTGAAGAGTACAAAAATACCAGAATTAGACAAAATATAAATAAATTCTAATATTAGATCTGTGGTCAACTCTTGGTTAGATCTGTATGTGTGGATCTCTGGATCTCAGACCTTCAGTGAAGATATAGCTTGTACAGTTTTACTAAGAGTCAATCTGAATTTCAGATTAAGTGCTGACAAGAGATATTTCTTTCACCTTGCCATATGCATTCTTTTCATTTTCACCTATCTTAAGTATTTGAAAAATTTGTAGAAGCAGATAAATGCCAACAGGGGGCTCTTTTTCTCTCAGTAATTAATCCAGTAATAAAATGTAGACTTTAAAAATGTCTAATTTTGCTGGTAATTTAATTAAAACAAATGAATAAATAATAAACAAACATATCAGTCAGAACAGAATTGTCTGTTGGTAAATAGCCAAAGACCAAGTGACAATTTTCAATTGAAACCTAATGGAAAATAGATTCTGAAGTTAAAAAAATTAAATCATTAGACTGGAAATTAGGCCTTGTTTGGCACTGATTAAAGAAAGAATTAAATAGTCTATTCATTATAGCTTTTGTGGGAGTCACTGCAAATGTACATAGATGAATTGGGGGTACAGAACAGAGGAAGTCAGTTTTGCAGGGTCCCTGCAATTTAACATGGGGACACTTCATTGGTCTTAAAACTGCCCTGGCTGAAGAGGGCCAGAGAAATGGACTCGGATGTCACCATATCCACCACATGTGTCTGAAGAGGCAAAGTAATGGGGATTTACTTTACTAATTCCATCAAGTTCTGTAAAGGAAATTATCTAACAAAAGACTTGCAATAATATTGAAATCCTCTCTCACAGAGATTCCTGTGGAATCCACAGTGTAAAGACATTAGAAACCAGGCTGAAAACCCTTGGTTATAATGTCACGTGCACTGACAATTACAAGTAAGTGAAAATCCTTTATTAATATGGTGTATTTGCAGAAGTACCTTATCTATTTGATTCTTACTTTTCAATACTTTAATGCCATTAATGTTGTGTCTTCAGGAGAGACTGATATGTTGGAGGGGTGATGTCACATTTTTTAGACTTTTTTACCTGTGAATTGAGCAAAACACTACATTGTATTGTATAATTAGATGGAGCATTGTACTCAATGTCAGACACAGAATATGGCCTCATATTCCACTTCACTGTAAAATCTTTATTTGGATTGAAAATCTAAGCACCAGTTAAAACCACTATTGCATGTCTGCAGGATTATTAGATATTCATAGCAGGATTCACAGCTCTAGTTATTCCCAGTAGATTTTAAGAAAATTTAATTGAAGGGAAGCTTTAGACATGACAATACTGTGAGTTTGTTTCATTTTTTCATTGGTTTTCCTCAGTTTTCTGCCTAAAAATACTAAATAAATTGATATCTTCACAGGTCTGTAGTGTTCTTACTCTGCTTGGATTATCCTGATAATTCTAAGTGTGCCCTTCCATCGTAAGTAAAAGAAGTTCAATCCATCCTCAGTGTCCTTACAATCGAATAAACAATGCAGAAGTCAACAGTTCAACAGATCCAACCTCTACCATCTATTATATATCATCCATATGAAATATACAGTATTCTTCAATTTATTACTTACTGTGCCTTGAGTAAGCTGTCTCTCTTTGCAAATTGTACACAATTGTCTGTGAGCACCTGCTGTTCAAAATTAGGGATTAATGAGTTCTCATCAATCACACAGTAACACTATATATGATTCATGGTATGAATGAAGTTTGTACATATCATTGTTCTGGTGCAAAATCTACTTCAAATTTGAAATTGATTTATTAATATTGTTCCTTGAATAATGAAATTGTAGGTCAAATGATGGCACATTTCTCCAGCTGCTGGAACTAAAGGTCTAAATTTTGAGGAAGTTTCTTTTTCATCTTCCATTTTGTATGAAACTCAATTTCTGTATTTCAATGTATTTAGCTTGGGCCCAATGCATTTACCCTGGGCCTTACCTAGTAGGGTATCTGCAGAGGTGCAGTTTACATCCAAGACACAACTTTTTTAATTAGCAATCATCATTCCAAAACTAGTTTTTAATATTATCCCATCTTATTCTTATTTTAATTCATTATATAAAGAGAATTAAGATAATTTATTATGTATTTCAGTGATTTACAGTGAAGATTGCTGTTTTCAATTGTGACTAGTTTTCTTAATCTATATACTGTTGCATGTTTAGGTACACATAAGATACTTGAACTTCTGCTATGAAAGATCTTACTTGCTGTTCCCAGTTATGGCAACAGAGAGATGCAACTGCTGCTGCCTCCCTCTGGGGAGGGGCAGTAGTGCTTCATGCAGTACAGAAAAGTAGGTGTATATCATTCTCTGTAACATATGTTCAGCTTTTAATGCATCCTTACAGAGAAAGTGAGTACTCTGTTGCTGCTGGTCACTGTAAACTTTTACTCATCTTGTCATGCAACAACATTTATTCTCACATCCAAATTATATCCTAGCACCAACCTATAAATATTATGAAAACAGATTCCTCCTAGGCAGTAGATCATAGGACAGGCTTCCAGTCCCGTTAAGGTTTTTGTTTGTTACAAAATACCACTTGCACGGTGGATTAAAATAGGGTTTCCCTGTTCTGCCACTGAATGGTAGGGCTTTTGTTCACGTGTCAAAGGAAAGTGTATTTATCCCATGAAAAATCATAGCTGTAAATGTAGTGACAATATTAACAAACTGGAGGAAAAAGCACTTTACAGGACTTAAAAAAAATATAATATTGTGACCTCTTAACAGAAGATTTTTCTCCTCTCCCAGGTTTTAAACCATTTCCCTCAAAGTTTTGTGGTGTATGTTCCTCAGCTGAGAAAACCTGGATGAGAAGGCTCATGGAAACCGTTAATGTCTTTTTCTTTTCAACTAAGGGATGAGCATACCAGTTCTGCAGTATTACTACATAGTGCTTGCAGTATGTAAGCAGCCACCCCTTCTCCTCCATCCACGCCGGTACTTAAAGTAACATAATAACTGGCATTTTCTAAGCATCAGTCTCATGCTCTCGTGGGATAATTATTAACCAACTCAGATGTGATCATCCTCATTAGGAAAACTTTCCTTGCTTGTTTCCTTCCTGAGCATGCTATTCCCTCCTGTATGCATGGCACTGTAATAGGTTTGATTTACTTCATATCTGCACTATCCCAAATCAAGACAGAGCTTCCCAATCAGAATGCTAAACTATCATTGCCTCTCCCTGAAATTTAACTAAAGTGCTTCAGACCAATGAATACTTAACACTGTTCCCCAAATCACTTACTTCTCTGCAATAAATAACTTCTCCATTGAAATTACTGCCCTTTCACAAAGTCTTAAGCAAATGCATACAAATTATTTGATGATTATCTTCTTAGGTATGTTTTTTTCTGTGGAGGGATGTGATGGCTCATTAACTGACATGGGAGCAGTCTGGACAGTAGGGGTATCACTATGAAGAGCATGTATCTGTTAGGAAAAGGTTTCCTTTGCAGAATATGTGTGCTCAGTGTACACTCAGTGTACTCAGAGAAACAGGCATGCAGGCTCTTCTGCATCCCCTTTCCTGAGGCGTATTTGCTTTTACAAGGCTGATAGCTGCCTTCTTACCCTGCAGAGAATAGTGTCCCGAGCCCAAAACTACCAGAGTTGGGCAAGTCATTTTTTATGTCACCATAGCTCCTGTTACACTGGCATAGCAAAGGAGAGGTATGGGTCAGGGTAGCAGAGGGATGGCCTAGAACGTGCTTTAATGTACTTTGGGCTTCTTGGGTATTGGTAGTGCCCTTTAATTCCTCTCCAGACTTGAATTATGTTTTTGCTGAGTCAAATTTGGACTTTGGCTTGTTTAGTTGAGATCCTGACTTTTGAAGAAAACTTGTAAGTAAAAACTAACCACTAGATGGCATAGATGGCTTACAAACATAAGCAGGAAGGAAGCCAGATGCAACCTATTAGTAGTGGTATTTATTACTTGCATTGTTGCAATGTCAGAGAGACTTAGAAGTGGATCTGGATACTGCTTTATCAAATGCTGGGAAAATACAGTCCTACAGGACCACTGCTGCCTAGAAGAGCTCTATAAAATCACAAGCATAAGGCCAGAGACAGTAAATGAAGGGGGAGAGGCAAGAAGGCTCAGGTGTAAAGATAGAAAGGAGCGTTCCCAGGATATTCCAAAGCTACTTAGTTTATTAAATCATCACAGCCAGAGAGAATCTGTTGGCTAGCTCGTATGAAGAAACTTCTAGTTTAGAACTTGGACCACGAACTTCATCCTTGGCAACAAACCCCTGATATTTAAAAGAATCCTAACTCAGCTCTGTGCTGTGAACATCCTGTTTGTTTTCTCTTCTTCAGATCTGCACCAGCAGGACAAAGAGGACCTATATCTTCAGACAGAGGAGGCAGCTGGAACAAGCTCATGTTTGTTTCTTTTGTAGGCTTTTTGTTCAGATTTGCTTTAGTGTACTAAGTTAATCAAATGAATCCATATCCTCTGTTTGCCTTAGCTGGCTATAAATTTGCCTTCAGCTAATTTCTAACTGCAGTTTTATCCTGCATCTGGGACTGGCAAACCTGCATATTAAAACCTTGCATACTAGATACCAACTTCTTTTAGTATCAAAAATTAACCTGCTGATGCTAGAAAGCCTCACCCTTCATTTCCTTCTCTTGATTAGAAGAAATGTGTTGCTATTTCCTCTTATCTTTGTTCTCCAGAATTAAACAAGAATAATATGTTCTGTTCACATATTTCAGAAGGAAAATTAAAGTATGCCTGTTGTACATCATCCTCACAGATAACTTGTTTATAAAAACATCCTAGCATTTGGCCTTGTGAACTTAAGTGGCTGACTATCATGTTTTGGGAAAGGGAAATACGAATTCAGATAGGAGAGATCTTAGATTTCTCACTTGATACAAGATACAATAGGTAAGACAGCAGAAAATTAAACTTATTTTCATAAGTGGTCCAGCACTTGGGCCAAACTTACCTGAAACTGTTGTATAGCAAGATTCTGGCTTGCATACTTGCATACAGTATTTTACCACATGATATTGATTGCTTTGTCATCCACACAGCTGTTCCTGGCCACTGGGTAGCAAATAGTCAGAAATACCAGGTCTAGAAAGTTCCACAGTTTTTCCACTATGATGGGATTTATGGTATATCATATTCAGACAAGAACATGCCAAGTCAGACATTGGCCTACTTGCAGTGAACTCAGTCAGCATGCTTCAGAATATACTGAGGAGAGAGCAGATGCCATTCTGAAGGTTTCTTGAGTTACTTTTGTGAATTATCTTAGTGTTCCAACTAGACACTCTTCTAAATCACCAGCTAAACATCCAGCTACCAAGGTGCAACATAAATCTTCAGAAAAAAAATAGTCATTCTACTAGAGAATAATTTTATGTAGAATTTTGTTACACATTCTGTGCTAGCTTCTGTATTATTTATTTGTGTTTATATTAGCTGGTTGCCAGGAAACTGGGATAGGATATTCCTGTTATCTGCGTGAATCTGATTTAGGGCTTCATAGTAGATTTACATCCTTTCACTCCTTGTTACATCCTATCCTCCCTGATACAACTATATCATGTTGTATGTAAAATATGTTGTTGTTGCTTTTTTGTCTTGCTTCCATTCCTGTAATAATCCTTATTTTGGTTTTAATGCAAATCCCTTTATATTACACACATAGTTGGGTTTGCCTGTGTCACAGCTGTTTAGTCTTCAGCTTGAAGGATTTTTATGTCTGTTTCAAACCCAAAAAGTACTGAAAATGCAGAAGTAATGAAATCAGAAGTTATAGACCTTTGAAAATCTGGGCTGCAGTATGCCTCATAATTGTTCCCTGTCTATGCTGTAACATTAGTCTTTTGATTGGTTCTTTCAACATCCTCCTCACTTTTATTGCTTGTTGCTGTCCTTAACAGCAGCTGCTAGAATAATAAGAGAGGTATCTGTCTGTAACACAATCACATCTCAGATAACTAAACCCAAGCAATTTTGATCAATCTTCTATTTGCCCGCAGCAGGTCACATCATGACACATTTTGAGCCACAGGCTGTAGAGATAGTGCATATGAGGCTCACAGTTAGGAGTCCAAGCCATCATCAGGACTAGTGTTGGCCTACCTATTGACCTGGGCATGACAGCGTGGGGGGACTCAGAGAACAGCTTAAAGCACAAGCCATGTGCCTCTTAGGCAACTTCCATCCATATGCCAAGCATCCCAGCTGGCCAGCTTTTGCTTTCCAGCTTATGAAAGCTTTTCACCTCTACTGCAATCCACTCCAGCAGCACAGTCAGTTCTGGCCATTACATATGATACCAAATACACTGTAGGAAGTGCTAAGTAATTCTGTTTTGAAAAAAAAAATAATTAAAATACAAAGTAGGATAGCTACAATTCAAACAATTGAGATTATTTAGTGCATAACCTTGTATCAAGAACAACACACTCAGTACTTCTTGCAGTGTTTTCTCATTTCTAATGTTCTTTCCTCTTTTCTTATTACTTCAACTCAGTAGCAAAGACAGCATTTTTTTTTCTCCAATACCTGTTCAATAATGCATCTCAAAGTTGCAGGAAAAAATTGGGTAGATTTGTAAAGATTTTTAGCTAACCAACTAATATAGATGGGAGAGGGAAAAAAAGCAAAGTTCTAGATGCATAGGTTTCCTGAGATCTTAGAGGCAGCACATTTCAAGCTGAATGTGAATTGTTTGTTCTGCATTTAATATAATGTTTTTAATCTGCGTGAAAGAACAGTGTGACTGGCATCTCAGAAGCAGAGAGGCAGAAGTGTCAGCAAAGCAAGAAACAATAAGGTCATTTGTTACTCCCAGAGAGAGGGAGAGACAGGAACAAATCTTTTTTATTTCTACATCTACAAAGGATGTGAATAGTACTGTTTACACATATATGTTACACTTACGTGGTGACAATCAGCTAGGTGTGCCTGTGCTCTGTCTTGAACACCCAGTAAATGCTCTGGTTAGCAACGTCTCATGTAACAACTGTGCCAAATTTGGAGAAATCATACTGTCCAAAAGGCACCTGCCCTTCTCTGTAGACTCATGCAAGCTTGGTAATGTTCACCCAGGTACTTCAAATACAGATTCAAAATGTTTCAGTCATTCATACTTGTACTAGAAGTACTACAAAAACAGCTGTCTCCAGACCTGAATTCGAGGGAAAAATATTTCAGATGAAAACAATATGTGTATCACTTCATTTTGAATCTGATTGGATGCCACAATCCTGTGTAGATCTGTTAATATCCAACTATTTATGGCCAATGAAAACACACGTACAGGAGCATTACCAGGTGCTCTGCATTTCCACAGACAGACCTGTGGAAGCTACTGAGACTACAGTAGTATTTCCTGCTCTGCCCATTTTGTGGACCATTCAAGAACTCAGTTATGTCGCGTCCTTCATTCCAATATAATATAATATAATATAATATAATATATAATATAATATAATATAATATAATATAATATAATATAATATAATATATATTCACTCCTACTAACTTTTTTTCCTGCTACATGTGTTTCAGTCATTGTATCTGACAAAAACTGAACTCAGAGTAATTCCTTTCTCCAGCATTTATGTGTATGCATATGTATACATCTGCTCATACCTGCTCTGTCTATTTTTAAATGCAAACTCTTGAGTGCTCTGGAGTAAGAAGTTATGAGAATAAAGCAAGGACAACTTGATCACCTCTCTGCCCTTTTTATACTGCTGGTGTTTATTTTTGTCATATCGGCCTTGATGTGATATCCAGCTGACATGAATACGTTTTCAATCAGCAATCTTAAATGTAGTGAAATGTGACCTGAAACCTCAAGAATTGTTCCATGAAAACTAGCTCTTTCTCAATTGAATTAGCTAGAAATAATTCTGATGTATTTTGCTTCAACAGTGTGAAGTGGAAGAAGGGTGCTTTTAGCAGAGCCAAGAAGTTTGGTTTAAAATAGCTCAGTATGGGGAGGCACAGTATCTTAATTTAGCCAAATGTTACGGTGGCTCAAACACTTCACAAGTTTTTTTTTGATTTTCAAGTTTTTCCTGATTTCAGCTTCTGCCCAGTCTAAATTTACTTGCCGTTTTATGTAAGAGACGAACAATATAATCTGCCAAATTTTGTTTATAATGTGCAGGCATCTGATTTCCTACAGTTTCCTACAAATTATGAGGGCAAGCTTAGAGAAGACCCTCATTCCCTTACTGCAGCAGCGCAGTTCCAGTGCAGGCTGGCAGGGAGAGTGCTGAGGGAAATTGGAGCCTGGTAGTGTGGCACATATGTACCCTCACACCATGCCAGAGTGTCCTTGCTGCCCGGGCAGCCCTTCCTAACTTCTCCCTTTCTCTGCAGCTCCAGCAAAGGTGGAGTCTCTGATCTCAGTCTGCATGAGTTACTTTGTATTTTTAGCAGAATATGGGAAAATTATGATGTTGGAAGTTCAAGAGAAGGAAAATGCAGGAGGAAATTATGGTACACATTTCCTTTCAGTAGCAGGCAGTGAAGTAAAGTAAGTAGTCTTTTACTTGTGACTGTTTGACGAGGAATACCTCTGGGCTCTGTAAGCAGTAGCTGTGGTAAGTTCCCTAAGTGCAGGCAGAGATGATCCTCCAGAACTCCTCCAGGACGTTTGGAGTACCTTGAGTTATACCCTTAATTACAATACTTAACAAAGAAATATCATTTTTTAATCCAGTAACTGTGTTTGCTTGGACATCTCTTAGTGATTACACCTGATATAGTCTAGCATCAGGCATGAGTGCTTGGATAAATAATTAACAAGGAATATAAGTATTGTAGGCAGAAACCAGAATTATAAATCAAGACTTTGGCAAATGATGGACCACCAAACTGCAGGAAGACTTTTTTTCCACCTCATTTGCCACAGGTAAAGTCAAGAAAGCAGAGCTAAAAAAATTATATTCTGCATTCCGGTATTCTATATGCCACACTATATCAAGGTACAGATGTGGAAAAGCTCCTCAGTCATACTGTGCCATTTTGAAGAGCAGCAAGCAAAGAAGGGAATAAGCAGAAATAAGAAATACCATGGAAATTTTAGTCTTGTGGTATTAAATCCTAACTGTAGCACATGCTGGCCTGTGTTGTGCTTCATTCTTACTTTTCCCTTTGCTTTGAGAAAAGGTACCAAGCAAATCCAGATCTGATATTTCCACAAAGCAGAATCTATGCTCTGGGCTTTTACTCAGAACTTTCTATCACTGTTGCTCATTAGCATGGGGTTAAATAAAAAAAGGAGCTGCGGGAATAATATGAAAAAGAAGTGATGACAAGCAAAATATGT